TATTGAGCAACTGTTACTGCGTGCAGTGACTGATGAATGAGTGAATGAATATAAGGAGAAAATCCGCACAGGGGCTGGAGTTCAAGGGGAGGGTCTCAAAACCACTCCTACGTCCCCTACCTGGCTTCTGACCGCCGGCCACGCGCGCCTGACACGCCGGATATGACGTCACCCACTCCCGTGGTTCCCAGAACTAGGTGGTGGGACCGGAAATTAACCCGGAGGGAGGGGGGTGTGCAAACTGACCGGAAGTGGGCCCGGACGGGCGACGCCAGCCCCCAGCTGCCGGGAGCTGGTCAAGAGGAGCGTGTGGAGGGCGGGGCACGGGGCGGGGCCGCTGCAGGGGCGGGGCTTGCAGGGTGGCGGGCGTCGGGCGGGGATCCCTAGTCCCCGCCGGACTCCGCCTGCCCCGGCGCCGGCGGCGGCGCGGCCATGAAGCTGAAGCTGAAGAACGTGTTCCTCGCCTACTTCCTGGTGTCGATCGCCGGCCTCCTCTACGCGCTGGTGCAGCTCGGTGAGCGGGGCGGGGCAGGGGTGCGGCGGACCGGCCCGAGGTCACCCGCCGCCGTGCGTCCCGCCCTGGGGATGAACCCCCGCGTAGACCCCATTCATCCGGCACGGCCCTCTCGCAGCTCTCTGCGGCCTCTGGGCGCACTCCCCTCTCTAGAACGCACCGCAGCTGCCCGCGGCACCTCGGGTGAAATCAGACTCCTTCCCAGAGCCTGCAAGGCCCCGCATGATCCTGCCTCCTTCTGCCTGTCCAGCCCCTTTTCCTTCCCCTCCCGCTCGCTCTGCTCTGGCCACATTGGCTTCATGACAGTTTCTTGAAACCCCCACGCTCATTGTTCTTAAGCACTTAACCTATTCCGTCTGCCTGTAGTGCTTCTCTCCCAGGTCTTTCCCAGCTGCCTCTTTCTCATTCTTCAGGTCTCAGCTCAAATGTCACCGCCTCACAGTGGCCTTCCCTGACCACCTTAGCTAAAGTAACTCTTGTTTTTCTGGATTCTCTTCTAGTTTCTCTCCTGCTTGTTTTCTTCCTGGCCCTTACTATAGTTTCTAATGACTTTTATTAATTTGTTCCTTTGCTTAGTGTCTACCTCCTCCACTAAACTGAAACCTCCATGAGGGCAGGGACCATGTCTGTTTGGTTTCCTGCTACATCCGGGGCATAAGGCAGTGCCTCCCAGGAGGAGCATTCAATAAATATTTATCCAATAATGGAATCAGTGAATTTAATGAGTCTTTGGTCATATAGCCAATGGAACAGATTGAACCCTGCCTCTTATACAGGGATTTAGAGACTGGGCCACTTCATGATCCTCAGGTATTTCAGAGACTGTCCTGTTTTAGGAGATCAACTTGTTCTTTACAGCTCCAGAAGGCAAAATTAAGGACCAGAAGGTAGAAGGGATGGAGGCAGATAATCAGCTCAATAGCCAAATGAAAATGGTAATGGATGAAATTATTGAAGTTGGAGAGAGGCTGCTAATTGAAACATGAAGTTCCCTACCGCCAGAGTACATGTAGAAAGCCTGTTAGAGAAGTTGTAAGGAGAGTCCTGCATTAGCTAGTTGAATGAGAAGGTTATGGCCCTTTGGGATGCTGAACATGCTGTGGTTCTCTGCCCCCATCCCTGCTTCCCGGGACCAGGCCAGCCGTGTGACTGCCTCCCTCCCTTGCGGGCAGCAGCAGAGCAGCTTCGGCAGAAGGATCTGAGGATTTCCCAGCTACAAGCCGATCTCCGTCGCCCACCCCCTGCCCCTGCCCAGCCCCCTGAACCCGAGGCTCTGCCTACTATCTATGTTGTTACCCCCACCTATGCCAGGTATGGTCTCTGGTGCACCCAAGACCTGCATGGACCAAGAGGTCGTGGTTGATGATGAGTTTGGGGAGGTGCTGGGCCAGGGGATATTCCTCAAACTAGAGCATGCTGAACGACAGGCTAACTGAACCCTATCGTTGCCGAAAGATTGATGGGAAAATGTTTTCCTATTAAAATAGAGAGGGATAGGGTGGTAATAGCTCAGCGGTAGAGTGGTAGAGTGTGTGCTTAACATGCATGAGGTCCTGGGTTCAATCCCCAGTACCACCATTAAAATAAGTCAATAAAATAAAATAGACAAGGATGTGCGATGAACACAAAATCCCTGAGAAATTTTAAGATAGAACAATAAAGTTGCAAAGAAATCCTGAGCTTGCCAGTGAGTTCACTCTCCTTGGGATCCTTTGGTGAGAAAGTTTGAGAACCTCTGACTAAACTGAAGCAGAAAAGGGTTTGGCTCTATAGTCATACCAGGGTCTAGAAATAGTTACCCCAGCTATTATTTACAGTGTTTACTCTCTGCCACACACTGTGCTAAGTGTGTTCCTTTTTTTTTTAAGATAAAATGTAGCTTTATTACTGATACAAACCACCTGGGGAACAGTGGTTTTGGATCTGTAGCCAAAAGGGCTTGCTAACACCTCCCTGTAATCAGATGGCTGACCCATCTCTAGACCCTCTCCCCCTCCTCACACTCACCACCAGTGGTGGGGTGGGCAGGCCCATCTGAAAGATAAAGAAGCCTACAAGAGATTGGGCCCCACTTTCCCAGTTCTTTGTCTAAACTTGGATAAATCTTCCTCCCATGAAGAGCAATGAGTCAAGGGGCTCCTCTAATACTCTACTACCTGGAAACCCAAGCACAGGAGGCAAAGTATCTGGTCTTACTGATATTCTAAAAAGTTATGATCTTTAAAAGTGTAGTGTTGTAAAGCATTATTATTCCCATTTTATAGCCAGGGAAACTGAGGCTTGGGGAATGGCACCATTTCCCCAGGTATCTCACCTAATAAGTTACAAAGCTGGCATTCAAACCCAGATCTGATTTCAAAGCTTGTGCCCTTAATTTATAATCTTCTACAGTCACAGCCCTGGGGGTTGACAGAGGTGAGTGACAGATATGGATTAGAAGAACAGGGCGGGTGAGTGACAGAGTGAAACTGACAGGATGAAAGGAAGTTTGGGTAGTGGTGAGGGAAAGGTCATGGAGGGTGCTCGGAGTGGCCCAGGAGAAGCTATATGTACCTGCTGGAGTGGGCAATTAATGCCTACCGCTTTCCCTCCTGCTGCATCTTTCCCCCTGCAGGCTGGTGCAGAAGGCGGAGCTGGTGCGGCTGTCCCAGACCCTGAGCCTGGTGCCCCGGCTGCATTGGCTGCTAGTGGAGGATGCTGAGGGCCCCACCCCATTGGTCTCAGGGCTACTGGCTGCCTCTGGCCTCCTCTTCACACACCTGGTGGTCCTCACCCCCAAGGCCCAGCGGCTTCGGGAGGGCGAGCCAGGCTGGGTTCGGCCCCGAGGTGTAGAGCAACGGAACAGGGCCCTGGATTGGCTCCGGAGTGGAGGGGGTGCTGTAGGGGGAGAGAAGGACCCACCCCCACCAGGGACCCGGGGAGTCGTGTACTTTGCTGACGATGACAACACCTACAGCCGAGAACTCTTTGAAGAGGTGAGCACTGGGATGGGGATGGGGAAACAGGCTGGGTGGGGCCAGCTTCATCTTTTTCTCCGGGTAAGGAGTGGGGAGCAGCAGGGCAGAGTGACTCAAGTGGTCTTTCCTCTTGTTCCCCTGGGCCACCTCCTGTCTGTTTCTTCTCTCCTGACTTCTGTTAGATGCGCTGGACCCGTGGAGTCTCAGTGTGGCCCGTGGGGCTGGTGGGCGGCCTGCGATTCGAGGGCCCTCGAGTACAGGATGGCCGGGTGGTGGGATTCCACACGGCATGGGAGCCCAACAGGCCCTTCCCAGTGGATATGGCAGGATTTGCTGTCGCCCTGCCCTTGCTATTGGCTAAGCCCAATGCCCGCTTTGATGCTACGGCTCCTCGGGGCCACCTGGAGAGCAGTCTCCTGAGCCACCTTGTAGATCCCAAGGACCTGGAACCACGGGCTGCTAACTGCACTCGGGTAAGGGGATGGAGGTGGGCAAAAGAAATCTGCCTCTGGGATGGATGGTGATGGGAGAAATGGAGTGAGGCCCTGGGGAGCAGGATCATGGATGGGTGTTTGAACCAGGAGAGACCCTTCAGAGCTCAGATTCAAACTTGCTCACTCTACTGAAGGGCAAGCTGGGAGCCAGAGAAGGAAAGTGGTTTCCTGCCACTCTGTCTCCGGGGCACCCATGTGGCACAGAGAGAGTAAGGGATTAAGTCGCATTTTAGAGGCACTAAAGCCTCCCTCCACCCTGCCCTTCAGACTTGGCAGCCAACATGGTGTGTGTAGATGGGGTTGGAGAATCTGCTCTGCACTGAGTAGCACACCAGAGGCCTGGCTGTGGCTGGGCCTGGCTCTAACTGAACCTTTCCTGGGACAGGTTCTGGTGTGGCATACGCGGACAGAGAAACCCAAGATGAAGCAGGAGGAGCAGCTACAGCGGCAGGGCCGAGGCTCAGACCCAGCTGTTGAGGTGTGACGGTGGTCCTCCCCTGCCCACCACCTCATCAGGCACAGACCTGTGGGACTGGGCCCCTGGCCTGCCCAGGATGTGGTTTTCCCAGTCTCAGTCCCTCAGAGCCAGGGTTGGCTCCTCTGCCCCTTCAGCCCCAGGGCGTGGCCCAGCTGCTTCTCCCCTCCCCCAGCCTGCCAGGTGGCACTGCCCACAGGCTAGGGACAAGTAGCCCTTGTATTGAGCCAGATGGGCTCTGTCTGAGGTGGAGCAGAAGGACAGACAGACTCAGGAGGGAGGGTGGCTGAGTAACTGGGTAACTTATTGGGGCTGGGCATGCACTGGGGGGCTGGAGGAGCTGGACTGGACCCTCCCCACCTGAGCATGCAGACCCCCCCTTGCTACCTCCAGAATAAAAACTCTCAACCTGGAGGTTCCTATGTTTTCCTTCACTTCCCACATCTGCTGCTTGCATTTGATCCTTACCAGAGTCAAAACCCCAGAGTCCTGGCTTCCCTAATAGACAGGCATCGGTTCTCTCAGGAGCCCCCACCCCCTTGAAGAGAAAGGTCAGTGGCTTCAGTCCAAAAGCTTTATTAAGTCTGTGCACCAGAGCAGTCTCCAGTCCGTCCCGTATTACTTTCTTACCACCCTGTTTTTTGGTTTTTGTTTTTTCTGTTCCCTGGTGGTTTTGGCCATGGGTTAGGCCCTAGGATACCTTGTTTTCTCCCCTACCCAAGTCTGGCTCAGTGACTATCCTTAACCCTTCTAATCCCAGAGATTCCCCCCTCCCTAACCTGGAGCCTGGTAGGGAGGTGTGAGGTTTCCAGAATTGTCCATCCCTCCCCTTCCCCCTACTCCTCATCCCCACCCCAAGCTCCAGGCCACTAGACCTCAGATGGACCCTCCTTGGGAGGTGCCTCTTCTGGTGGGGCCTCCTCAGGTGCTGGCCGGTGGGCCACCCCACCCTGTAGCCATACTGTTTTCAGCATGTCTTTCAGCCCACCGGGAAAGAGATAGCCCTGAGCCTCTCCCTCCCCATCAATGACTCCTCCAAGGCCCTCCAGTGCCGTCTGGAGGTACCGCAGGCCCAGGAGCACCAAAGCCTGTGGGAAAAGCAAGGGGCAAGAGGTCAGTGAGGGTCAGCAGTTCCAGGGGCCCCTGGGTCAGAGGCCCCCTGAGGAGGAGGCCTCAGACACTTTGCTGACTCACCTGCAGCAGGAAGGTAACAGCCAACAGGTTGCCCAGTGTGCTTGCCAGCCCCTGCAGGTACCCCAGCAGCACCCCATGGCATCCTTGGGCCCAGAGGTTTAGGTTGGGTTGTCGGGGATCATAGAGAGGGTGGGCGTGGGGGTCTGAGAGCTGGCTTTGCAGGCAAGGCCTGGGTGAGTGGGGGTTGCAGCAGGAGAAAGGGACCCCATCAATCAGATATAGGCCTTCCACATTGCTCTGGATCCGGCTGCAAAGGGAGAGGTGGGCGGGTTAGGAGGTCTGGAGAGAGACGCCTTGGGGAAGAGCTGCAGGGCACAGGAGTTCAGAAGGGGAAAATGAGGACACATTTACTGACTGCTTTAGTATGTACTAGGCTTGCATAATTCACTTATCTTCACAACTCTGGAAGATCGGTTCTATTATCATCTCCAACCTACAGAAGAGGAAATGGGCCCAGAGCAGTTTCGTAACACACCCTGGGTCACACAGCTAATACATGGCTGAGCGGTACCCCATTCTCTCAATCACTTGACTCTATTGCCCATCCGGGTGAGGTGGGGTTCTGAGGGAGAAAGAGGAGAAGGAGGAGGAGGAAGAAGAGGGGAGAAGCAAATCACTCACTCAACCACGTCTTGGTCATTGGGGTCCAGGTAACGGCTGCTGACCCACTGGATCCCAAACCAATCCTTGTATCCATGGCGCCCGCAGCACTGGTGCTTTATCTGCAGCTCATCCAACAGCCGTTTGGCTTGACAGCGTCCGGGCACCTCTGTGTCCTTGTAGTGGGCCAAGGCAGTACCCAGGCCCTCCTCCAGTCCTGTGTCCAGAGTTCCAGGTAAAACCAGGGCTAGCCCCAGGGCAAGGACCAGGAGACCCCCGCCACCAGCTGTGCCAGCCACCAGCAGTGGGCCCAGGACCCCACGCCAGGGAGGGTACTGAGCTGCATCTAGACTGGCCCTGCTGGCTCCTGAACCCACCAGTCCTGTGCCCAGAGCCACTGCACTGGCTGCCAGGGCAACCTGGGGCAGGGTAGCGAACGGGCAGGAGGGAGCCAAGAATGTGCCAAGGTGCCGCAGCTGGACCAGGAGGTGCCCGCTACAGAAGAGGGTGAGGCCACCGACCAGTGCCAGCAGCCAGGAGAGGAGCCAGAGCCCCTGTGCCAGACGGATGCGGGGCTGGAGGGGCAGCACCACGGGCAGCACCGGCGCCATCTCCCATCTCTGCCCAAGGGAGAGCAGAGCTGTCAGGGACAGGGGTTGGCCGAGGCAGGATGCTGCGTCAGCCCAGCCCGGCTTGAGCTGGGCTAATGCCACCCTGACCCCAATACCCTGGGCATCCTCCCGCCCCCAGCCTTAATAACCCGACGTCCTGTCCCCTGCCAGTCGCAATTCGGGATACCTTGGCTTTGCCCCTTAGGAAAAGCCCCGCCCCCGGGCAAAGGGCCTATTTCGTGACCCCGCCCCTGCCCCCTCGCGGAAGTGGGAGGGCTGGCGGGTCGTGCCCAGAGAGACTGGGGGCGGAGACCTTAGGGCCTGCGCTCTTCCC